GAGAGAGAGAGAGAGAGAGAGAGAGAGAGAGAGAGAGAGAGAGAGAGAGAGAGACAGAGAGTTGACATTGAGACTTTCTGGCATTGCGACTTGACAGTGTATGAGCAGCGACATTGGGATACATTGGAGACTGGGTTCATCGGGCTATGGTGACTGATCCTCCCTATCTCCTCCATCCTTAGTCTCTTCTCCCCCATCTTCGTCTCTTCTCCCCCATCTTCGTCCGTGTATGTCGTTAGGCTCAGTGCACTTTCTATGCTTGCTGTGCTGAGCAATTCACGCTGTGTGATGATGGTTGCCGTCAGGTTCTGACATTGTCCGTGCTAAATCAGATCTTGGTGTTTCAGTATTCCGCTGTGCTATTTTTGTATTGTCTCTGAGAGGTCGGTTCTTGGTTCTGATCGATGCCGATTCGGCATGCGACATCTCCCTAGCACCGCTCTTGAGAACTCACTCTCCTACAGTGCCACACACCCCTCACACTCTCCAGTCTCTCATCCCTCAAGTGCTACTTAATCTCGCAAGACACAATCAATCACTCTTTTAGCATGATGTGCGGCACACAACACAAGGGATTTCACTCTCCCCTGGTAAGACACCGTCACTCTTCCACTGGGAGACACCGTGCTCTTCTAGCGTGACAGCAGCACCGTCCTTCCGGATGATCGCTTGAACAAACTAAACCCTCGAAGGGCATTCTTGATGCAATAACAGACACTGGTGTGACCAACTTAAGTTCACCATATAACCGTAAGTGTGTCTTCACTTCGTTTCCCTCGTCCACTTCCTCCTCACACTCAGTAGTAGTCTTCCTCAATGGATCCAATTACGACCCTCACTTTCATAGCCAAAGCTTCACCCTCCTCTACATCACCTCCATAGACATGGTCTTCCCCTCCAGGACCATGCTCCACTCTAGCTGCCAGCTACTGGCAGTCAAAGCAGGCAGCACATGGACTCCACGTGTGAACAACGAGGAGCATAAATGACGTTACTTGAAAACTCAATTTAACAATGTAGCTCTGAGGATTACATGTCATAGTATAAACCACATTCCATAAGTGCCGCCACAGCTTCCTCGTACTGCTCAGTGTGCATGAGAACAGTCGCTCTCCAAACTAAATACCGGAGGGCAAGTTACTCCGCCCTTACTTCGAGAGAGGTGACCTCCAAGCGAATTGAGTCCTGAGTCCTGCTCTCCTGATCTGTTATTTTCTCGTCCTGCAAAAGTACCGCTCCGTGGGAGATCTAGCTGCGGGTTCATAAAACGAAAAGCACAAATGAATTTTGTAGGGACCGAAAAGGATCAACTGTTTTCTCTTCGGGCAGCAAGTCCCTTGAAGGGTCAGCAGCAGATCACATTGTGCAATCTTCTGCTGTATCGATTTCCCAGGTGATGTCATCATCGTGCGATGACTCTTGTCTTCATATGCTCCTGATCCATTCTCGTTTCGTTGGGCTGTAGTGGTGCCGTATTGCGCACTTGTTTTTTTTACCAGGTGCATATCAGCCCTGCCTATACCCTTCCCATTCGATCTCAGTTGCCAAGCCCTTGGGCCTCAAATTTCCCAGCACACCTTGAAAATTGCAGAAAACCTTTTTCCTTTTCCAGAAGGACATGTCAGTCAGAGGTATTGAGAAGGTTACGTCCATCCGTTGTAGCATGCTTTTTCTGAGTCAGATCGGGCCAGATCCCACCCACTTTCGCAACCCTCTCCGTGGCCCAAAATAGGTAGACGCTGGGGTAACCCATCCCCTTCAGGTCCCTATGCAGTGTGACGAAAGAGAATGGTAGCAAAGCATCTGCACAGGTATTCATGTTGATTCTGTATAAAGTTCCGATAATTGCGGCCACTTCTTTTTTTTTCTTTTTTTGAAAATAGAACCTTCTGGTTCCAGCTCCTTATCCATTCTGGGGAGCATCAGTCCACTTCCTACTCCACCGGTAAGTCAAAGAGAATACGTTGTGCACTCACTCCATGCTCCTCCCCGTTACAGTTGGAAGGCCGAAGTGGCATTGAGTACTTCCTTATGGGAAGGATATGCCACCCCGCACCCCTGGCTAAGTTAGCCTGGAGAAGGTAATGGCCGTTCCTTGACACGCCTGGAGGGCTTAATGACTGTTCCATCCTAAGGCTTGCTCCTGTCGGTCACCCAGCAGTTTGTTCACACCCCTCCTATGCAAACCCCCAGCCCTGTTCATGATCTTCACGGGACCCGTCCCAGCACAGCGTGGGGTTCCCAGAGATACCTCAGGGAAGATGCTGGCCACCCCACGGCTGATCCGAGGCTCAGTCAGACGATCCGAGGTTGGACCACCGCTCTATGTCTGCGGGGTGTTGGGGGTCGCGACTATGCCGCCTGTCCGCACTCCGAGCGAGGGACAGCATCAGTGGCCGTGGGCAGCTGCACTAGTATGCGGCTAACCCGCAAGTGTCATCTGTCTCCGGGAGAAGTGTGGAGTCCTGGCTCTGCACCTCATCCGTGTCCTCTTGCACTACCTAGGGGTCAGGCCAGCTGAATTGGATCCTCCCTGCTTCCAAAATGCCCACCCTACTCGCTCCCAAGTAATGCTGGGTGAAGTTGTTACGGATCTCCGTTGCTTTGTCCGGGTTTCTGTCCATCTCCTCCCTCGCCCTCCTCCAGTCAACCCAGTACTCCGCCTCGAGCAGAGAGAGGAACTCTTCCCAAGCCCAGGGAAGGGGTAGCTGTCTTTTGTCAATTGTCTCTGAGCGGCGTCTCTTCCATATCACCCACAACGCCAATGGCCTGATCCTCAGGAACAGTCAGCGCTGGAAGGCTTCCGGCATCGGAGAGGCAACGGGCTGCAGGAGGATGGTCGGAGTTAAGGCGGGGAACAACGTACCGGTTGTTGTTTGCCACAAGGTCTGAGCTTTATCCTACAGCTGGTGTGCATTGGGGCAGTCAACAAAACAGTGGCAGACCTCTTCTACCCTGCCGGTCTCGCATACGGTGTAGAGCTCATTCAGGTAGGATCTGTGGGCAGGGCTCCTTCACTTGGATAGCCACTGATTGACCGGCAACTTGCAGCAAGGCAAGGAATGCAAGCAGCCATTGCATGCTTCTGACACGTGTGTTTTGTATTGCCAGCAAAGCTTTCCATTGGCCAGCATTGCATGCTTCTGACACGTGTGTTTCGTATTGCCAACATAGCTTTCCATGGTCTAGCAAGCCGGCTCGTCAAAGTGACGTCAAACTCGTCCTTCCACCGATGTTTGATTGTGTCCTCCACCTCCACCGATCTCCGCCTAAGTCTGTAACCCAGTCTGGTGGTATACTGGAGAAGATTATATCTCCGCTCTGGATGGCCGGGGCACTGTCGTAGCCTCCACGCCCACTCAGCCGGGTCCACCTCAAGGTCCTGGATAGCAACCATCAAGGCGTAGATGGTGAGGTTAGCGTAGTACTCAACCACTCTGACCTTGAGCAGCAGCTGACGCTGTATGGCCACTTGGCCCCCACTGTCTCTTGCTAGCCCGCTGACCTGCTTTCCCGGCATCTGAATGTCATGCATGTCGAAGAGGAGCCAATCCCCAGCCGATCTTGCCCGCGCCATGAAGGTGAGGGCCATTGCAGGCGTCTCTTCTGTCGCGAGCATAGCCCAATCGCCCCCTGTCCGGCTCCCCCAACCGCTGGAGCCAGCCTAGTGGAAGGAGAGGAGCATGGCGTCGAGGTTCAGGTGCAGATTGTGGCAGTCTCTAAGTGTCGACCTCAGTTCTGTGTGCATTCTCCAAACTCATCTCGTTGTGCTACCATTCAGACTTAAAATTGGAGAGGATATACGAAGGACCGAATATCATTGAATTTCTTAAAGCAAAGATTTTGTTCTCAAGGAACCTGATGAAGTGATCTTTATGAACTTTATGAACACATTTAAAAGTGTAGAGAGTATCTGGGAAACACCTGAAAATCCCAGATTCATGATGACAAGTCATTTTGGATCTTGTTTTTAATCCAAAATGCCTTGCCGTCATGCATCTGGGATTTTCAGGTTTTTTCCAATACTTTCAACACTTTTAAATTTTTGTTCTTAAACTTCATAAAGATCACTTCATCAACGTATTTTCTGCAAACATGCATACCAGGCAAGCCAGTGATGGGCTGGCCTGCCCGCCGATCGGGATTCCTTTGTTCTGCTTCAAGATAAAACAGATTTGAGAAAACGTTTTTCAAAAGGAAATCGACGTCTTTTGAGGTCACTAATTCTGACAGATTTCCATCCATTTTCTCCTGTGGATCTCTCGAGAACCGCTCCTTCCCCTCTTGTTTTCACCCTTATCCAGTATTTGCCTGTGGATTTCACTTATGAAAAAATCCACCGGATTGCACTTCTTACTTCATCATGTGGTATCTTTGAAAACATCTCTTTTAATATCACAGGTCCGAGACTCTGAGTGATAACTTTGAGGTTTTTCTCTTTTATTCCCTGATTTACGTTTTGCAAATTTGCCTTCAATTCACTTCCAGTGATTAGATTGAAATGTCCTTCACTGTTGGTACAAATTAACAAATTCAAGGCTTTCACCAGTGTGTTACTCGAAAAATCTTACCGGGCTTAGAAAGGAAGGGCAAATGGGTGTTTTTTGTTAATGTGTTTGTCCTTGTGCTCATAATGACTGCATTCTTCAATTCACCCTTCTTGGCCTATTTTCCAATTCTTGCCAATTTACTTTTCCTGAAATCAGATCTTATTAACAACAAAACTTACAAAAGTCTATACTCTGGCTCTGTTACTTTCTCAAAGTGCGGATGATCGTTAAAGGCGTTTTTCATTCCTTCATAATTCAACATTAGTTAGGCACTCAAGCAAAGTGGCCTCCGAATTTCCATCCAGAGGAGATAGAACAAGCCCATCAAGAGCCTCCTTTACACCTACGCATACTCCCTTAAGACAGCAGCAGCAGGGACTGCAGACCCAATCTTAGTCAGTTTTGCGGGACATATCCTAAACTGATCAATGACGCCAGCATTCTTTGACAGGGTAAGTCCTTGCCTGCATCCTGGATTAATCTCATTGATTCTTGCGATTCTCCTCAAATAGGTGACATTTGCACTCCGGAACAAATTCCAAATCAGAAAATCGATGATTATGTTGGATATCCACAACGGTTTGGACTTTCATTCATACTGTGCGTAGTTCTTTTTGCATCAAGTCACATAGCTCCCAGTTGTCTCAACTTTCTCCTTGAATAGTCACACACCTTAGACCGGAATAAGAAAAACAAAATTTTTATAACCAGTCTTTGCCTCGATTTTCTTTCGGAATAAGCAAAACAGAATTTTTATAACCAGTCTTTGCCTCGATTTTCTTTTGAATTCACCAGATTCCAATCCTCAAGTTAATGTTATTTGTCTTCCTTTTTTAGTGTTCAACACTTTAACTCCTTTTAGCAATCACAAGAAATCGTCGACAGTTTTTTGAGACAACATACATCGTCGTTTCCATGGAGCACAAAGTAGAATGATTAGTTCAATCTTTCTCCTGTATACCTCATACTTAGTTTTAACAAGGCATGTGAGCTACCATTTTCCTCTTTCGTTAAAACTGGATTTCATGTCCTTCAATAAAATACAAGCATCCTTATTTTTCAATGTCGATTCCCCATATATCAATTCAATAAGCCTCGTTGGGTTTAACCATTTTGATTCTCTTGTGCTACACATTTGTACAAACGTTTTCTTACCTTCTGCTAGCTTTCAGATATCTAGTAGATTCAATGTTTTTGAACTCTTTTGAATTTGAAGTGTTGATAAAAACACAATTGGTTTCCATCCAAATCCCTTTGAGGTGGTCTTGTGTTTTGCTCGTCCTGTGACATTTCTGTTTGGGTTTGTATTTTTTGGTATTGAGTCCCCGATTCTCGCTATTAATGATTTTTGCCTGAACATTCTTTAATTCATTACTTTCACAAAAGTACAAAGGAACTGCAGCATACGTATGCGCACCCTTCTTCCCAATCCATTTGTGAACCTTGAACACTGGTTGAACTTCAATGGTATGCAAGTGCTCTAGTCACCGCTCCACTAGTGCTCTTCACATTTGTCCTACACATGTTTGTCTACAGAAATGTGAGATCAGTAGTTGGACACATGAGGCTGTCATGTCCTTAGCTAGGAAGCTAGGAACGTTTTCCGATCTAATTGGTCCCAATATCTAAAGAAAGAGTTTTCCCCCAACTCAAGAACCTACTGATACACACATAGTTCGTCCCAATCCTCAAGGTTGTCTCAAGATCAAAGCTTATCCTACCTTTCCGGCATCTGAATCATAATTTGTATGTTCGTTCATTCATCATTGCATTCCAAGCGCCAATCTAATCGCTGAATTAATGAATCGCTCCCTCCAGGAATGGAACTTGCAACCTGCTCACTGTAAATCAGAACACCTACCACGAGGCAAAGCGAGCTGGGATGAAACTGCAGCTCGCAGATGCGAATTTCAGTCCACCCCAACATGGTTAGTACATCACATCCACTATGACACGGTGTACCCAAACACAATTTCAACCAAATGGTCCTCTTGAGAGGAAGCTCAAGGGGTTTTACATGCTGACCACCATGGGTACTCTTTCCTGTCAGCTGAGAGCATGCTGCGTGAATGCTCGTTTATTCATCATTGCATTCGAAGCGCCAATCCAAATCGGTGAATTAAACGAATCGCTCCCTCTAGGAATCAAACCTGCTACCTGCTGACCATAAATCAGAACGCCTACCACAAGGCAAAGTGAGCTGGGATGAAACTGAAGCTTGCAGATGCGGATTTCAGCCCACCCTAGCCTGATTAATACATCACATACCACCATGACCCGGCGCGCACACACACACACACACACACACACACACACAAAGAGAGAGAGAGAGAGAGAGAGAGAGAGAGAGAGAGAGAGAGAGAGAGAGAGAGAGAGAGA